TGACTAGTCGACTAATCGTGGCAGCCCTAGAGCTGGGTGTCGTCTGCATAGCAGTGAAATTGGATGTTATATTTCTTGAAAATATTACCTAAGGGTAGGAGATGGATAATAAAGGGTAAAGGACCCAGGACAGAGCCCTGGGGTACACCAGAGTTAACTGGAGTAGATTGGGATCTGTGAGTGAGTAATTGAACAAACTGTGAACGGAAACAGAGATATGAGGTAAACTAGGCGACTGTTAAGATGCAAAACTGTTTTTTTTTTGTTTTTTTTTGTTTGTTTTTTTAAATGCCTACATTTATTACTAGCTTGACTCCAGCAGTTAAACTGAACTATCTTTACAAATGATATGATGCACTAAATTAATAATTGCTGTATCTTAGTATGGTTAGCTGTGAGTCTGTGCTCGCAGGTTGTAAATATGGCTTTCTCCTCATGGTAGAGCCAGAATAAAGTCGGGGGTTAGAGACGGAATTAATGAACACATAAATACACTCATACATGCTGTTTATGGAGCAAATTACAATTCTCAAATAAAATCTTTATACATCAGTAGTATAAATTTCAAAACTTCTACGTTGCTCATTCTTGAGTTATCATGTTGACAAACTTGCATGTCCGCATCGCCCGCTCGGCAAGCTGACTATAATACTCTGTCAGCCTTTTACGACTGAGGGCTAAACACCTGTTAATCATGAAAAAAAAAAAGCTTTTAATTTTGACATGTATCTCTGACCTGAAGCGAGGCTTTCTTATGAGCTGTGTAGCTGTAAAATCTTGCTCATGGACAGATCCTTCCTGAATAATCACCAAGAAAAATAATTTCCATGAACAGTTAATCAGATCGACCTTACGACTCAAAATGTCAGCTGTTAGGGGAATAATAAGTGGGTTTATTCATTATCAGACTGACACTCACGTCTTTTTAAAAACAAATTCTTTCTAATCTGAGCTGATACAAATGTTCACCTTGCTGTTGAACAAGAAGTTCTTGATTATAGGTTTTTAAATGTAAAACATAATCTGCTAATTTCAAATGGCCTAAAATGTTACATTAGTTGATCTATTGATAAACTTTAACTGAAACACAATCATAATTAATGGTCAGTCATTAAAGGACAGTCAGTTGCACTGTGCTTTTCTAGTCTTACTGACCAGTTAAACAGTATTACAACACAAGCAAAGAGAAGCATTTTCAATAACTGTTAGATTTGTTCCAGAAATACCCCCTCACTTTACTGTAATCCAGTTCCTGTTAGATGTGAAGTATCAATACTTGTTTATGTTTAATAGCTTTGTCGTCTCCAAATGCAATAGTTGGTTGTCACATGTAGGTACTCAAAATGTCAAGACGGGATTGACATCAGTGTAAGACTTAACTTCATGATATAGAAACAAGTAATTTGAGAAATTAAATCCATATAATTTAATTCTCATCAGAACCACATCACATAGCTGCTGGTATAAAGTTTTGTAGATATCAGGACATCAGAATGACTCTACAAAGACATAATTATAATTATCACTCAAGTCACTCCGACTTATCGGGGTGAAGTGAACAGTGTATGTCATGCAACAGCGTTTCTTCATTTTCAAGTATTTATGAGTGCAATCTCTTTGTAATAAGCTGTTAGTCATAAAAAGTGCGATAAGAAATATTTCTTTTTTGGCTGTACTTGAAAATAGGGTGTTGTGACTTGCTGGGGGCCACTGCATATTACTCTTTTTTTCATAACAAAATGGCTCCAGACAAATAGCATTATAGGAAAAAAGAAAGTAGCCATCAAGTCCAGAATGGGGAAGCTTAAAGCCGTTTAAAAAATCTGATTAGCAAAAAGTTTGTTTTTGTTTTGGACAGAAATACAATCAACAGCAACAAATTATTATTATTATTATTATTATTAACAACAACAACAACAACAACAACCAACAACAGTTTAAAAATAAGAACAACTGTGCAGGAGAGGTTAGGAAGACCTTTTATAAGGCCACCTCCCCTATAACATTAACAGGTTAGCAGGAGAAACAGATAAGTGACATACAATAATTTACTAATATAATAAATATTCACATCATATACTATTAGAAATTAACATTGGTTTTTATTGTTTTTTGAAAGATTAAAATGCAGTTATCGACTGAAGAGCTGGTGGTGGCTTGTTCTCATATGAAGGTCCTCTGTATTTAAATCTATTTTGCCCAGTTAACGTTGTTCATAAGGGTAAACAAAAACCACCACAATGTCTTGTTGAATATGTACGTGCATCTGAAGTTGAAAAGTAGACGATAGTGTCACAGGAAATTAGATTTATCTATGTTTTTTCTCATCATGCTGCAGTAACGGGAGCTCTAAGCTAGAAACCTTCCTTACTGTCTTCTTTGTTTTTACTTACTTAATTCAAACATCATCTTTGAAACCACTCCTGTAAAGCTACAATAAAATTCTAATTACATGATTTTACTGTTTTTACAGTGGCCTATGTCACATTTGCTAACAAAGAAAAGAGGTCAGAAAAGTCAATAATGCTTTACTAGAAACAGCGGGACACGAGGCACGTGCACCAAAGGCTCAGAAGCATCCTCGTTGCCCAGAAATGATGACTAGACCATTTTTGGACACTCTGCTGGGTTTTGTGTGCTCTGCTTTTTAACTGCTGTTTGCACAACACGATTCAAAAAAGAAACAATACTCATTTAACATGATTCCTCTGTTTTTATTTTCTGGTTGAGGGTTTTCTTTCTTGGACATTTCTCTGTGTCTGAGTCTTGTCTGTCATCTAATGAAATTTAGTCTGATTAATTAAGTTGGTTTAGAGCGTGTATGAAGTGATGCTCAGGTAACTTGGTAGACTAATAGGAAGTAGAAATGGACTGCTTTTAAAACATCACATAATGTTAAAATAATCAGATAACTTAAATGTGTCTCTTCCTAAATTGTTGGTTTGTTGGTTTCCAGCCTCCTAAAGTGAGATGTCTGACCAGAATATGGCATCCCAATATCACGGAGAATGGAGAAATCTGTTTGAGGTAAATTGTGTGTACCCTTCCCCAATATTACTTCTTCCTAGCGCGTGACATTTTATCTCATGTTGTCATTTTCTATTTAGCCTAGAAATTGATAGAAAACCAAAACTGAAAAATAATTTCTCTGAGCCCTCATTCTTTGAGAATCCTCGACAATGCATGCAAATGCAAAAAAAATTAGTAGTCTACAGTAAAAAAAAAAAAACATTGTGCATTAAAAAGCTCACACAAAGCATCTTACATAAAGCGCAAGCGTTTACAGTATTGCAGATACTCTAGCTGTGTATCTCTTTTTTCTTCTGCAGCTTATTGCGGGAGCACTCTATTGATGGCACAGGCTGGGCCCCCACTAGAACATTAAAGGTAAAGTGTAACTTTTTCTTCAGTAGAATTTCCTTTTCTTTGTTTTTGCTGTGTAATTGAACTTTGGGGTCATCATCAGTGTTTTATCTGTGGGCTAGGGGTTCAATTCAAGTCCCGTTACAAAGATGTGGCTCAAAGGTGTGATGAAAGATGCAGTTTGCTGATGTCGGCAGTCTTACTAGAATTGGACTCTATGATGAAAAAAAGTTTGGACCCTTCTAATTGCTACATCATAATATTTATGAATCTCTCCTTAGCTTTTGATACCATTGCAATGTACCCAAAACTCAACAAACTATCTGGATAACAGGTCAATTTTCTCCGTCAGAGACCAACATGTGGTGGTCAAAGTCTGCCAAGCGTGTTCGAAACCCAAAGCTTTTGTTTTGCTCTGTTCCTGCTATGAAGCGCACAGATACCTTAATTTATATGTGAATCAAAATTAAACTTAATGCTATTATTTTTTTCAAGACTATTTCAACTAACTATATAACTTATATCGTGCTGAACCCTTGGAGGGAAATATTGATGCAATGCTAATTTTTAAGAAATGTGGACACTGTAACATGTAAATTAAAGCAAAATACAGTGATTTGCAAATCTCATAAAACCCATATTTTACTCGCAGTGAAATGTAGAAAACATCAGATGTTTAAACTGAAATAATGTCCCATTTTCAGAAAAAAAAAAAGTTATTTTGAACTCTATGGGAGAATCGTGCGTCAAACTTTAGGACGGACCCAGCATGTCTTTTTTTATTTAACAGTCTGTAAACATCTGGGAACTGAGGAGGGGCGCTGCTAGACTTTGGGGAGAAGGAGGTTGACGCAGTCTCGTCTGAGCGAGGATTCTTGCTGCTCAGCAGTCCCTGGTCGTCCTTGTCCAATTTTTTTTTTTTTTTCATTTCATGACGAGCTAAACGTTTTTAAAAGGTAAAATGTCTGGAATGTAAGCAGGCCAGTTCATCGCCCAGACTCTTCTGTGAAGCCGTGTTGTTGTAATAGATGTAATGCGCAGTTCTGCTTCCTCTTGCTGATTATCCTGAGTATGAATATGTAAGGTTTTGCTTAGATAAATGGGAGCATATGTTCCTCTAAAACCCATGTCACCATATATCATCAAAGATCAAGAGTTTTGAACTGCAAGCCAGATGCCGTCAATTAATTTCAAGTCGCTTGACCACAGAACAGTTTTCCACTTTTCTTCAGTTCATTTTAAAAAGCCTTGTCCCAGAGAACATGGTAGTGTTTCTGGATCACGTTCACACATGGCTCCTTCTTTGTATCATAGAGCTTTAACCTGCATTTGTGGATTGCACGGTAAGCTGTGTCCTGGACGTGTTCCTGAGCCCAGGCAGTAATTTCCATGACAGAATCAAGCCTGTTTTTAATGCAGTGCTGCCTGAGGGCCTGAAGACCACGTGTTTGCACTAGAGATGGCACGATACCACTTTTTTATGTCCGATACCGATACCGATATCATAAATTTGGATATCTGCCGATACCGATATGAATCCGATATAGTGTTTTTAATCAACAAAACTGTTTTTTAAATAT